GGGGGTTAGAGTGGGAGAGAGCCAAAGCATAAGAGACTGTTGAGAACTGAGAGCAAACTGAGGGTTGATGGGGGGTGGGAGGGAGGAGAGGGTGGGTGATGGGTATTGAGGAGGGCACCTTTTGGGATGAGCACTGGGTGTTGTATGGAAACCAATTTGACAATAAATTTCATATATAAATTAAAAAAAATAAAGACTTTCAAAGTAGCCATTATAAATATTTTCAAAGGAAAGGAAACCATGCTTGAAGAAGTAAAGGGAAGTATTATGACAATGTTTTTTTCAAATCAAGATTAATGATAACAAGATAGAAATTAAAAAAAAGAATCAAGTGGAAGTTCTGGAGTTGAAAATTATAATAACTAAAATGAAAAACTCACTAGAAGGGCTCAATAGCAAATTTGAACTGGTAGAAAAATGAATTAGAAAACTTGTAGATAGACACAAAGAGGTACCTGAAGATGGAGAAAAAACCAATCAAGAAAAATGAACAAAGCCTCAGAAAAATGTGGGATACAATTTAGTGCATCAATATATGCATAATGGGAATGTCAAATGGAAAAGAGAGAAGTAAGCAGAAAAATATTTAAAGAAATGGCTGAAACTCCCCAAATTTCATGGAAAACATTATATACATCCACCACTTAGTGAATACCAACTACAATAAATACAAATATATCTGTACACAGAAAAATTGCTGAATGCCAAAGGCAAGGAGACAATCTTGAAATCACCAGGAGAAAAACATTTGTCACTTATAAGAGATTCCCAACAAGAGTAACACCTGACTAAAATCAACAGCACAAGAAACAACAGCTGTTGGCAAGCATGTGGATAAAAAGAAACTCTTGTGTACTCTTGGTTGGAATGCACAGTGGTGCAGCCATTGTGGAAAGCAGTATGGAGGTTCCTGAAAATGTTACCAATAGAACTACCCTATGATCCAACAATTGCACTACTGAGGGTTTGCCCAAAGAATACAAAAACACTGATTCAAAGGGATACATACACAGCTACATTTATTGTTATTATTGTTATTGTTATCCCTATTATTATTATTTACAATAGCCAAAATATGGAGAGATGAACTGAGGAATGGATAAAGTTTTATATATGTTTATATAAAACATATATATTTATATATAAAGCTTTTATATATGTATGAACACACATATATATAATATTTATACATGTGTATATACATATAACTTTTATATATGTACATCTATATGGATAAATGGATAAAGAAGTGATATATATATATATATATATATATATATATATATATATATATAACTCAGCTATAAAAAAGAAATGAATCTTGCCATTTGTAAAAATATGGATGAAGCTAGAGAGTATAATGCTAATTGTAATAACTCAGTCAGAAAAAGACAAATACCATATGATTTCACTGATATGTGGAATTTAAGAAACAAAATAAAGAAAGAAAGAAAGAAATGAAGAAGCTGACCAAGAAACTCTTAACTATAGAGAACAAACTGGTGGTTGTCAGAGGGGAGATTGGTGGAGGGTATGAGTGAAACAGGTGAAGGGGATTAAGAGTACACTTATCCTGCTAAAGATGCTTCTTTTTTTTAAATTTTATTTTTTTTAACGTTTATTTATTTTTGAGACAGGGAGAGACAGCATGAACGGGGGAGGGTCAGAGAGAGAGAGGGAGACACAGAATCCGAAACAGGCTCCAGGCTCTGAGCTGTCAGCACAGAGCCTGATGCAGGGCTCGAACTCACGGACTGCGAGATCATGACCTAAGCCGAAGTCGGAGGCTCAACCGACTGAGCCACCCAGGTGCCCCTAAAGATGCTTCAAGGTAGGGGGGCCTGGGTGGCTCAGTCAGTTAAGTGTCCAACTCTTGATTTCAGCTCAGGTCATGATCTCATAGTTTGTAGGGTTGGGCTCTGCACTCAAAGCGTGGGGACTGCTTGGGATTCTATCTCTCTGCCCCTCCCCACCTGCACACACAATCTTTCTATAAACAAACAAACAAACAAACAAACAAACAAACATTTAAAAAATGTACACTTATGATAAGCACTGAGTAATGCATAGAATTTTTTGAATCACTCTATTGTGCACCTGAAACTAATATAACATTTTAGGTTAACTATACTGGAATTAAAATTTAAAACTTAGTAAAAATATGGGGCGCCTGGGTGGCTCAGTCGGTTGAGCATATGACTTCAGCTCACATCATGATGTGATCTGTGGTCTGTGAGTTCGAGCCACTCGTTGGGCTCTGTGCTGACAGATCAGAGTCTGGAGCCTGCTTTGGATTCTGTGTCTCCCTCTCTGTCTGCTCCTCCCCCACTCATGCTCTGTCTCTCTCTCAAAAATAAATAAACATTAAAAATTTTAAACTTAATAAAAATAAATAAAATATAAACATGTACAGGCAAAATGCAGTAAAATGAATTGCTCGATATTCGTTACTTTGGTTTTTAAACACGGCAATACAACAAACAAGTATTTGGAAAAAAAAAAGTATCTAATCATGGAAAATGACATTGCCATTCCCTGACTTATCCTAAGTAAATAATTGTGACTAGAGTTATGTTAGATGATACTCTTTTTAGTGGCATTATGCACAGCTGCTAGTATAGGTTGGAGTGGACAAGTTAAGAAGAGAGATATGCTGCTGTAAGACTGAGTCTAAGTCTGCTTCAATTCTGCCTTCAAAATCTCATGTGAATCTCCTTCCGTAACAACTCTAAATTGGGATAATACAGGCAAGAGGATTCTGGAAAATAAGGTTCTGGCTTAGCTAAGTTGGCTTTATGCCTTAGTACATAATAGTCAAATTGGTGGAAACCAAAGATAATGAGAAATTCGTAAATAAAACAGCCAAAGAAAAACAGTGCATTACATAAAAGAGAAAGCAGTTTGAATGACTACCTCTTCGTATTCGAAATAAAAGAAACCAGAAGACAGTTAAATGATATTACATATAGAGTGCCCAGAAAAAAAAAATGATCAACCCAGACTTCTAATGAAAGCAAAAATATACTCCACAAATAAAGATAAAGATATTTTCAGATAAAAGAAGACATAGCTCTTCTCTAGTTCTTAACTAAAATAAATGCTTAAGTAAGTGTTTGGTCTAAAGGAAAACCATAGCAGAGGGAAACTCATATATTCAGGAAAGAATGAACAGCACCAGAGATGCTAAATATCTAGGTGAATATAAAATCATTTTTTTCTATTACTTACTTTGAAATACATGCTGTTTTAAGGCAAAATATAGTATTATTTTTCATGGTTAATTATATAATGACATATATAGATGTAAGACATACACCAACTATAGCATTAAAAACAGTGAGGGATAGAAACAGAAATTATGGTTTCACATTTTCTACATTTTACAATATTAACTCTAAACAGACTATGAAAAAAGAACTATATATTATTCTGTAAACCCCGCACCAATCATTAAACATAAGTATGGAAGTATAGCTAAAGAGTGAATTGAAAAATTAAAGTGGAATTCTAAATATATTCAAATAATCCAAGGAAAAGCAGAAATGGGAAAGCAGTGAAACAAAAATCTGAAGGGACAAACAGAAAACAAATAATATGTGTATGTGGTAGGTGGAAATACAAACTTATCAATGAAGGGCTAAATGCTCATATTGAAAAGGCAGAGATTATCAGAATGGATAAAAAATTAGGATGTAACTATATGCTATTTACAGTCCGAATAAATACAGTGAAAATAAGTGTAAGTAAAATGGCATACCATGAGAAAGTAAGTACAAGACTGAAGGTGCCATATTAATGTCATAGGAAATAGACTTTAAGGCAAAAAAAAAAAAATAGGCTTAAAAAATAGTACCAGAGATATATGTCATTACCAGATATTCTAGAATTTAATTAATCAGAAAGACATAAAATAATAAATGTCTATTGGCTTAATGATAGAGATTCAAAATATACTTTTTAAAATGACTGAATTAAAGGGGAGAAATAAGCCTACAACTGGGATTGGAGATTTTACACTCTTCTTAGCAATTGAAAAATAAATCTGACAAAAATATATCAGCTAAAGACTAGGTATACAGCAATCCTATCAACCATCATAACCTAATTGATATTTATAGAACATTACAACTAACAAATGTACACATTTATTTCACATGTACATGGCACAATACCGATATTGGTCACATGCTGAGCCATATACAGCAATTATCAATGGTTTTTAAAAAAATTCACTACAGAGTATGTTTTTTAACCACAAAGGAACTAAACTAGGGATCAATAACAATATATCTAGAAACTTTCCAAATATTTTTACATTTATTTACAGACTTTTAAAGTAATCCATGCATCAAAAAAGAAATCGTATAGGAAATTTAAAAAATACTTAAAACATTTGAATGATAACAAAAATGTACAAAATCAAAATTTTTCAGAGTACATCTAAAGGAGTGTTTGCAGGGAAATGTTTTGCTTTAAATGTTTGTGTTATTAAAGGAGAGAGACCTAAAACCTGTAATTTCAGTCTTTCCATAAAGAAGCTAGACGGAGAGAAGTAAGCCAAAAGCAAGCAACAGGAAGAAAAAATTTTAAATAAAGACCAAAAATATCAATGAAAGAGAAAATAGTCAACAATAAAGGAAATCAGTAAACACAAAATTTGGTGCTTTGAAACAATAAAAACAAATACAGTTTATTGTAGGTAAATTAAACCTCAATGAGTTTTATTTAAGAAAACATATTTCTGTGAACATAGATTTTCTTTTACCCTGAGATAGTCATATATAGATACATGTTTTTCAGGCTTAATGTTCCCTTTTCTTGGAGTTATTATTAAGGATCATGCTTAATTACTTACCTTCCTGAATGTCTTATAGATAACAAAGTAAACATATTGACTGAGAAATGTTCTTAGCTTCCACAAAGTAGTGTCCAAAAAGAAAAGCAAGAGAAGGCAAATAAAGCCTGTGATACTCATTACAATCATGTACTTTCCAATCATTTTCTCTTCCAAAGAATAAACATTCTTCGCAGGATCTGAGGATGGCGGGGGTGGGGGGTGGGGTCGGGTGGAGAGAGAGATTAGTACAGAACATTGACACTATGAACAAGGCCTGAGAAAACAATAAATAAGAAATATAGGGTGGAATGAAACATTAGGCTACACTGAGACAAGTAAACTATTTGGAGTGTGAGAAGTGATTATCCTGCTACACTGATATTCAACAATGAATTCTGAAGGCTAATTTCATGAATATAATGTACGGTAATCAAGTAAGCTAAGCAGATGAATATTAATATATTTATTGATATGCTTATTATTACATGTCATGAAAAAATGCTCCAAGTCCTTTCAAAAGTGTGAAATTTTAAACCAATAATTAGAAGCCAGTATTAAAGTGCAAGTACTCTTGCAAAAGGTAACATTTTGCATTTAAAAGGTAAAAATGACCATTAGTGATACTTCTTGAACTCTCTTGAGAAGTTGAGTAAAAAGTCCAGAATTTGTTATAAGAAAATTATATACTTTCCCTCCTTTAAAAAAAGTCAATCCTTTAGAATGGTTTTGGATTTACAGAAAAATTATAAAGACAATATAGAGAATTTCACATACTCTGCATGTGCTTTCCCTAATTATTAGCAACATACATTAGTATGGTATGTTACAATAATGAATAAATATTATCATTAATAAGTACCAAATATTACCATTAACTAAAGTCTCTGACATTTTCAGGATTCCTTTTTTTTCTAACGTAGTGTTATTTTTTTTTTCTTCTGTGAACCAGTCCAGAATTCTATATTATATTTAGTAGTCATGTTTCCTTTGGTTCCTCTTAGCTGTGACATTTTCTCATATTTTCTTTCTTTTTTTTTTATGATATTGACAGTTTTGAGGAGTACTGGTGAGGAATTTTGTAGGACATCCCTCATTTGGGACCTGTCTAATGGTTTCTTTTTTTCTTCTTCATTATTAGACTGGGATTATGGATTTGGGGGAGGAAACTCACAGAAGTAAAGGGATATTTTTATTGCAACAACAATAAAATGTACACACTACCAGTGTGACTTGTCACTGTTAATGTTGACCTTGATCACGTGGTTGAGATTGTGTTTGTCAGCTTTCTCTGCTGTAAAGTTACTCCCTCTCATCCCTTGTCTGTGCTCTCTATTCTCTGGAGGGAAGTCAAAATGTACATCCCACAAATATGGACTGGGAAGTTATCCTCTACCTCCTAGAGGTTGGAATATCTACATAAATTGATTGAAACTCTATGGAGAATTTTTCTTCTATCCATCATTATTTTAGTCATTTATTTATATCAAAACAGATTCATATTATCAATTTATACTTTCAGTTACAAATCCAATACTACCTTATTTTGTTGTTGAAATTGTTCCAGCTTTGCCTTTGAACACTTTTCTAAGTGTTTACGGTTGATGTACAGAAATGCAATTGAATGCTCTGTTTGTATTTATTTTGCAGTAATCAACCACAATATTAGGCTTATAAAGCCTAATAATTTATCAGGGGATCCTTTGAGATTCCTGCTTAGACCATCAAATCTAGTATTATTTTACCTTTTCTATTCCTCATACTTTGGAATTCTAAATAAAAAATACTTGATTCATGCATATTATATGCTATATATGTACAGATTTAAAGCATAATATAATGGAATCTATGAACCCAGTCTCCAAATTAAGAGTTTATAAACAATTTTAAAATACTTAGATGCTCCTTCATATATATCCATCTTCCACAGGTAACCACTATGATGAATTGTATTCTGCATTCCTATTTTATTTAAATACAAGTAGACCATTAAATATATATGAAATATGTAAATATATAAAGTTATATATGTAAGTAAATAAAATTTTGTTTAATTCTCAAATTTGAACTTTATAGAAATAGTATCATGCTCTATGTATTCTATGGGAGTGTCTTTTCCCTCCGTGTTATCATTGAAAAATTTTTTTCAAACATAAAGTAAAATTGAAATAATAAAATAAAGACCATTCCCTCCACCTAGTATCAACTATGTTGATGTTTAGCCATATTTGCTTCGCTTCCCACATATCACCCCACTATATGTATATTTCTAACTAAGTTAACTCTGTGGCTTTTTAAATTTTATTTTCTAGTATGTGTTATTTTTGTCTTCTAGCCATACTAGCTTTTTATGAATGTTGGTTATCTCTGTTGTGAATTGGGAATTTTCATGAACCATCAAAACAATAATTTTATGGAGTAGTGATGATAAGTTTGGGCTGATTCCTTGGTTGCTTAGTTTATGAAAGGATTTTTGTTGGCAGAGTGAAATGTAATTTCTTTAATAAATGTCCTTCTGCTTGTGGTAGTGGTAGTGTGGTGGTAATGTGGATACAGTTTTCTGATTTCCTGATAACCTTCTGTTTCTGCAGTACTATCCATTATTGCTATATTTTCCTTCTTTTTGCACATCATCAAGCTTCTAAGGGATAATTCTGTCTTCTAGGTTGTTCTTCTCAAAAGTGATATCTTCCCAAGATGAGAATTTTATAAAAGTAATGAGAGATCAACTCACAAATACAGGAAGTTCAGAAAATACAAGCAAGGAAAATACAAACTTCCCAAACCCCACTGCGATCCATCCTTATCATGAAAGGGAGATAGGCTGACAATAAATGATTTAAGAACCCATCTTATGATGTTAGAAAATTAATCCCCCAAAATGGAAAATGTGGAAAATAATAAAGAGCTTAAATTGATAATTTAGGAGATAAACATGCAATAGGAAGAATCAACAAAAGTGAAAATTTGTTTTTTATTTCTTGTTTTGAGAGAGAAAGAGAGCGAGCAGGAGAGGGATAGAGAGGAAGAGAGAGAATCTTAAGCAGGCTTTACACTCAGCACAAAGTCAGGTGTGGGACTTGATCTCATGGCTGTGACATCATGACCTGAGCCGAAATCAAAAGTCAGACACTTAACTGACTGAGCTACCCCAGTGCCCCTGAAACATGTTTTTTGAAAAGACTAAAATAATTGATAAAACTTTGGTAAGATTTATCAAGAAACAATGTGGGTGGAAAAAATTCAGAATATCATAAGTGAAAATGATAAGTTCTATAGAATTCACAGGTGTTAAAAATACCAGAAGATATGGGGTGCCTGGGTGGCTCAGTTGGTTGAGCTCAGGTCATGATCTCGTGGTTCATGAGTTCAACCCCCACATTGGCCTCTGTGCTGACAGCTCAGAACCTAGAGCCTGCTTCAGATTCTGTGTCTCTCTCTGCCCCTCCCCTGTTCATGTTTTGTCTCTCAAAAATGAATAAACATTAAAAAAAACCCCAGAAGATATTATAAACAAATTTACTCCAATGATTTTGAAAATTTAGGTAAATGAAAGGATTCTACAAAAACTCTATTAATTCCTCTCCCCAAATTATTAATAGGACACCCAAATAATTCTATCTTTATTAAGGAAACATGATCAATAATCTCCATGTGTAATTATTCAGTCTATTTAATTTTTTTATTATTTAACATTAGAAGATCCATTTATGTAATTCAACAGAATATGTAATTCAGTAAAACAAAGAGAAAAATCATTTGCCCATCTCAACAGAAGCTTAAGAAAAACTGAACAGTTTTTTGTGATTAAAAAAAAAAAAAAGGTTTACTAAACACAGGATAGAAAAAAAAAAACAAAAAACGTTTTTAATCCAAAAAGTAGGATCCCTTTGAATCTCAGTTCTGACTCATCAAAGCTCTGTGAAATAGAGCATATAGTCAGTATCCGTGAAGATGGTCTCTCTGAAATTGGAGTGAAACCGGATGTCGGCTATCACCACTTTGATTATATTTAAATTGTATGTCCTTAACAAAGCAGTAAAAGTAGTGTCCTTATTAGCAGCTGCTTTGAGTGTACCCATTGAAAATTAAAAATAATCTACTCATAAATTATTAAAGTTAATAAAATAATTTAGGGAGTTCAATATACAAAAAATGAGCTCTTTAATTTTATTTCTCTATATCAGCAAAAAACAATGAAAAATGACTCTTCAAAAGTGATACCATTTATAATAACATCAAAAGATATGTAGGAATAAAGCTAAGAACATATCTATAATACCTCTAAACCAATAACAAATAAACAGTATTAAATAAAAATGCAGAAGGCATAAGTAAATAGATGGATGGCTAAAACTAAATAAGCAAAGGAATGTACCAAGTTCATAGACTGTAAAATCAAAATTGTAAAGGTATTAAATCTTTCAAAATTGTTCTATAGAATTAAGGCAATGTCAATAAAAGTCCCACAGATTCTGGGGTGCCTGCATGGCTCAGTTAGTTAAGTGTCTGACTCTTGATTTCAGCTCAGGTCATGATTCCAGTGTCATGAGATCAAGCCCCATGATGGGCTCCACACTGGGTGTGGAGCCTGCTTAAGATTCCCTCTCTCCCTCTGTTCTTCTTCTGCTCGGGCATGCATCTTGAGTACTCTCTCTCTCTCTCTCAATAAGTAAGTAAGTAAGTAAATAAATAAATAAATAAATAAATAAATAAAATTTGTTTAAATCCTACTAGATTTGTTTTTTGGGTCTTAAAAAAAGTAATTCTTTTTTTTTAAACTTTATTTATTTATTTTCAAATAGAGAGAGAGAGCGAGAGCGAGAGCACAAGCAGGGGAGGACCAGAGAGAGGGGGAGAGAATCCCAAGCAGTCTCTGCACTGCAATGATCATGAGATCATGACCTGAACCAAAATCAAGAGTTGGACACTTAACTGACTGAGCCACCCAGGTGCCTCCCCATCCTCAAAAAAGGTAATTCTTAAATGTACAAGGAATTGCAAAACAAATATCAAGACATAGCCAAGTTCCAGTTTCAAAAACTTACTACAAAGCTAAAGTAATCAAGATGGGGGTGATACTGAAACAAGGACAGACATACACATCAATGAAATACAATTGAGAGTTTAGAAATAAACCCATGCTTCTGAGGTCAACTGGTTTCAACAAGAGTGCCAAGTTAATTAAATGGGGAAATGAATAGTCTTTTTAACAAATGATGCTGAAAGAACTGGATATCCATATGTACAAGAATCAAGTTGGAACACTGTCTCACACTATATACAGAAATCAACTAAAAAAGGATCAACAACCTGAATGTAACAGCTAAAACTATAAACCTCTTAGGAAAAAACATTGAATAAATCTCTGTGACCTCTGATTAAGCAATTGACACCTAAAGTATACAAAAAACAACAAAAAAACAGTGAATAAACTAGACTTCATCAAAATGAAACACTGCTGTGTATCAAAGGACACTAGCAGGAAAGTGAAAGGATAGCCCTCAGAATGGGAGAAAATATTTACAACCCACATATCAAAGAAGGGTCTACTTTACAGAATATATAAAGGCCAATTACCCAATTTCAAATGGGTCGAGAACTTGAATAGACACTTTTATGAAAAAAGATACACAAATGGACAACAGGCACATTAAAAGATGCTCAAATCACTGGTCATTAGAGAAATGCAAATTGATACAACAGTGTGATACAACTTCATACCTACTAGAAAGACTATAATAAAAAAATGGAAAATAACAATTGTTGGAGAGGATATGGAGAAACTGGAACCTTTCTATATTGCCGTACAAAATACTCCATGCCTCTATGGAGACTCAGTAATACTTGACTTCCCATGTCACTAGATTTTGCATGAAATATTTCTCTTCCATTTTTTCCCCACCTCACCCCATCTGCTAAAGTTTATTGTCATACAGTTACAGTTTACTGATCTTCCCTTTGAGGTCATCAACTACTATTCTAGGTAGGATCTGGTTTGCTACTAAATTTTCCCGCCTTTCTCATTCTGCCCACTCTCACAAAAATAAGATACTTCCAAAATTACCTAATAAATGATACAGTGCCACTGTGGGGATTTCTTTCTTTCTTTCTTTCTTTCTTTCTTTCTTTCTTTCTTTCTTTCTT